TCACTTTGAACAGCGTCGCAGTGTCTGTCTTGCACCTGCGAGAATACTGCAAAGGGACACATTCCTAGAAGTGGGTTTCCTAGATTCAAGGGTGTGAGCATTTTAAATTTCCCTTTGAAAATCATTCCATGTATTACAAAGTTCTTTAGGCAAGACTACAAGAAAATTTGGGGGAATCTATTGACTCCATTTTCTTCCTCGGGACCTCTGGGGTATTATGAACTGCCAGATGATATCTGTGGTTCAGTGGAAGGTTGGATCGCAGAGCAGGTGACTCTTCCTCCAGGAAGCCTTCCTGCTTCCCAAAGTCAGGGAAACTTTGAACCTCCCCAGCTCTTTGAGCTCCCCAACTCTAGCTTTGACCACTTTGGATGACAAACATGTCTCCCCCCTGGACTGTCAGTTCTGCAGGGCAGGGCCAAGGCTGTTGAGGTCACTATAGTGTCCCCAGTATCACCCTGTACAAGGTTGGGTGTACAAGATGCACTCAGTGGATGAATGGATAGAATGAGTGAATTTATAGTGACAAAAAGAGAGGCGAACCAAGATGGGGACAGGACTCAGCTTCCAGGGGCTCAGAGAGGTGGTAGGGAGGCTCAGAGTGAGAGAAGGAGACTTGAGGATTGGAAGGGGGCTTCCAGAAGGAAACAAGGTCTCGAAGAGAGAGATAGCCAGAGAGGGGTGGCATCTCAGGAAGAGACATGGGGACTCAGTGGTGACTAGGGATTAGAGAAAGCAGTTAAGGCAAGGATGACGGGTACTCCAACAGGGGGTGGAGGTTACAGAAAACCTGGGAGCTGAGGCCCCTAGGCAGGGTGGGAGTTCGGTAGGTTCTCACCTTCATCCTCCTCGTCTTGCAGACAGCGACAACCAGGCTTGCCTCCTCCAGCTTCACCACCTGCTTGATTATGGAGGGCTTGGGAGGGGCTCAAGGGCTTTGCTAGGTCAGCACTGGACACCGTTTGTCTCTCCCCCAGACCTCAGGGGCCTCTTTCACACTGTCTGGGTGCTTCGATGGGGCTGCCTTAGACACAGGGCTCAGAGCAAAATGACCAGGCCTGGGTGGGCAGCTCATCAGAAAGGCATTGGGCAGAAAAGGAGGGTCCCCACCCACTCTTGGTGGGGATGGAGGGGCGGCTGCGGGAAGCCCCAGGGCGGGGATGGCTGCTGACCCCCGGCCCACTCCTTTCCCAGATTTCCTGCCCTGGAGCCTTTATGGTCCTGGCTGCAGTTTCAAGTTTTGATGAAGCCAAATGATCCTGGTTCCGGCTGAACCAAGCCCAGTCCGAGGGGAGGACATGGCCCCCTGGAGGCCCTCTGCCTCTCTTTCTCTCATCTGGACCGTGGCCGTGGCCCATATGGATAGTCCCCTCCCCAGCCAGCGTCGTCTCCTTTCTCCCCTTCCCAGGAAGGCGCTGCTCAGCCACTTCCTGGCTGTGTGATCAGAGTGTCCATCAGAGCCTTGGGGACCTCATCAGTGCACCAGGAACAATAACACCATCCATCTCCCAGGGGTTGACGGGGAGGCTGGCCCAGGGCCAGGCAGCAAGGCACGGGTACAGTGAGTTAGGCACGTGCTTGGCCTGGCACACAGCAGGGCTGGCAGACAGTGACCGAGACCTCTTGGAATCTATCTGATTGGGGTTTAAACCCCAGCCACCGCCTCTTAACTGTGCTAACCTCTGAGACTGGTTCCTGCCTGAGAGGAGTAGTCCCTTCTCCCAGGGCCAGGGGGACGGTGCCATGAGATACTGCATTTTTAAAATATTTCTTTATTTATGTCTTTGTTTAGGCTGCACCGGGTCTTAGTTGCGGTATGGGACATCTCAGTTGCGGCATGTGGGATCTAGTTCCCCGAACAGGGATTGAACCTGGGCCCCCTGTACTGGGAGCAGCGAGTCTTACCCACTGGACCACCAGGGAAGTCCCGAGGTGCTCTGCATGTTAGATACATTCAGGGAGCACCTGACACAGAATAGGTAGGTACCCAATAAACAGTTACCACCCCGCCCTAGTCCCACAGTCCAGAAATCAGCTGTGTGTCAATCTGATCAGTTAAGGGTTTTCCAAGCACTTCCCCTGGGTCAGGATCTGAGCCAGATGCCTCGTACACAGTCTCCTCACGAGCCTGGGGTGAGTAGGTGGGGTCTTGCCCCTGGCACTCTTTGGGTGGTGGTTTGATGTTTTTTGTTAATTTTTTGACCGCACCACACAGCACATGGGATCTTAGTATCTCAACCAGGAATATCCCAACTCATGCCCCCTGCGTTGGAAGCGCAGAGTCTTCACCATTGGACCACCAGGGAAGCCCTGAGTGGTGACTTTAGAGGCACTCCTGCCTTCGTCTGCGCCTCTGTTTCCAAATCTGCAAGTTTGTTGAGTGAATCCTCGGGAACATGGGACTTGGCATGCCACAGGTGCTAAATTAACGCTGCCGTTAGGACTCTTCCCCCGTTTTACAAAAGTGGAAACTGAGGGCGTTGCCTGGTGGCCTAATGGTTAGGGCTCCTGGGCTTTCATTGCTGTGGCCTGGGTTCAATCCCTGGTCAGGGAACTGAGATCCTGCAAGCATGCAACAAAGTAAAAAAAAAAAAGGTGGAATGAAGCTCAGGGTAAGGTCAGAACTTCTCAGGGAACTAAGAAAATGTTTGTAATCTAGGGGAAAAAGTGGAACACAATACTCATAACCAAAAAGTAGAAACAGCCTAAATGTCCATCAGCTAGCTGCATGCATGTGTGCTAAGTTGCTTCAACCGTGTCTGACACTTTGCAACCGCATGGACAGTAGCCTGCCCAGCTCCTCTGTCCACGGGATTCTCCAGGCAAGAATACTGGAGTGGGTTGCCATGTCCTCCTCCAGGGCATCTTCCCTACCAGGGATTGAACTTGTATCTCTTACATCTTCTACGTTGGCAGGTGGGTTCTTTACCACTAGCACCACCTGAGAAGCCCATCCATCAGCTGATACGTGGATAAATACAATGTGGTATGGCCATACAGGGGAGTGTTATCTGACAGTGAAAAGAAATGATGTACTGACACATGCTGCAACATGATGGATCTTGAAAATACTATGCGAAGTGAAAGAAGACAGGCCCCCAGGAGATCACTTCTTTATTCACAGTAGCCAAGATATGGAAACAACTCAAATGTCCAGCAGCAGATGAGTGGATAAAGAAAATGTTGTAAAGCCATACAGTAAAATATTATTCAGCCTTAACAAAGAAATCCTTCCATTTGTGACAATCATGATGTGAAGTGAAATAAGCCAGTCAAAAAAGGACAAATTCTGCATGATTCCACTTACATGAGGTATTCAAAATACTCAAACTTGGGGTGGGGGAGGGACAGACTGGGAGTTTGGGGTTAGCAGGTACAAATGACTACATATAAACTACATATAAACAGGTAAACAACAATGTCCTACCATATAGCATAGGGAACTATATTTAATATCCTATAATAAACCATACTGGGAAATATGAAAAGACTATGTATATAGATCTGTATAATTGAATCACCCTGCCGTGCAGCAGAAACTAAGATAACATTGTAAGTCAACTATACTCTTCAATAGAAAATAATAAAAATTTTAAAAAAAGAAAATAATAAAAATTAAAATAATTCATCAAAGTAGAGAACAGATGGGATGGGGGAGGGGGAGGGAACATACAGTTGGAGTTCAAAGATCCGCGGTACAGTATCGTGACAATAGTTAACACCACTGGATTGTGCACTGAGAAATGTGTTAAGTGGGCAGATCTCACATTGTGTTCTTAACACCCATACACACATATACACACACACAAAGACCCCATATTCTGTGATCCCATTTACACAAAAACGTTCCAAGACAGGCAGATCTCCAGAGAGAAAAAGGAGACCCGTGGTCACCAGGGCCTGAGAGGGATAAAGGGGTTGGGTTGATGGTTAAAGGGGTGCAGGGTTTCTTTAGGGGGGATGAAATGTTCCCAAAATTGACTGCAGAGGTGACTGCCCTGAACTGTGCACTTTAAATGGATGAATTCTCTGCTGTGTAAATTCTATTTCAATACAGCCATTTTTAAGTGGCGCACCAAAATCTTGAAAAAGAATCCTGCCAAACTGAGAGGAATACATCTCTCATTAAATGCCCACAAACTGCAGCCGGTTCATTCCTCAACTCCCCACTTGTATATCCATGACATTGAAAGTATCACTTTAGGATGTGAAGTGAGGGGCATATATCCTCTGGACATCTCACCTCGTCCTGGGCAAAGAGAGGTTAAGCAGTTCCTCAGAGAGGGCCAAGGAACTACAGCCCAGAGAGGGTCAGCTTCCTGCCTGGCGTCACACAGCCCTGGGGCTCCAAGAGACCGTCAGACGTCAAACGTGAGTTCAAATGTGCGTGAGGTTCCAACCCCAGCCTCCACTCTGACCCCTGGCTGCCTCCTCCTTCCGACTTTGCAGAAAGAAAAAAAAAACCATGCCAGGAAGCATCCATCATAGCCTGTCCAACTGGGCCGGAGGGGCAGGGGTCAGCAAGGAGGTGACCTCAAGGTCTCCATGGGGACTAGGATCCGGTGGCAGGGCTGGGGGTGACAGCCTGGAATTTTTCCCACCCTGAGATTTTCCTGCGTCAACCCAGGAGGGCGCCCTGGATGCCGCCAGCCCTGCCCCCAACCTCCTTCCTCTCTAGATACCGCTTCCCGCCTGAGGATGGGGGTGGGGGGGTGTGCCAAGGTGGAACCACTGGGCCCAGGAGAGAAGGCACTTGGGGATGGACAAAATGAGGGTCGCTGGCCAGAGAGGCCGAGGGCCTGCCGTAGAGTCACGCAGCCTCGGGGACTTGGTGTAAATGGGGCGGCACAGCTGCCCCTGTCCTGCAGGGCCTCCGGCGGCCTCCACCGCTCTGCCCAGGAGTTGGACCCTAGCCCGGCCTTGGGTGTGTGAGAAGCCCTTGGCCCTGGGCCCTGCCCCCGGTCCTTCCTCCCCCCACACACTGGGGACTCAGCCCTTCCTTGTGTTAAATACAAACCTCTTTATTCTAAGTATCGTACGTTCCTTAATACATTGGATTGAGGCCAGACCTTGAGGTGAGGGGAAAGGGGGGGCCTGGGATATTTGTGTACAGCCTTCCAAAACGCCACCCACCCCACACTGGGCTGGGGAGGTGGTGCTGGGAACGGGCTTCATGGCCTTGGGAACTCCTTGCTCCTTCTAGCAGGTTTCTCCTCGGAACAGGGAGTTTGGGGGGAGGGGAGAAGACCGCTAAGGTTCTTGCCAGCCCAAGGGTCTGTGGTGCCAGGCTTGGAGTTGGGGTCGGTGGAGGGGGGGATGGTCTGTCAGCAGCAAAGATGGGGGCACTGAGGCGGGGTTAGGAGAGTCTCAGCGTCAGACCTGGGGCCGCCGTAATGGAGAAGGAGACGGAGGCCGAGGCCAGGGCAGGCAGGCCAGCGGGGAGAGGAGGCGGCCCAGGAAGAGAGGGAGGCTGAGGCAGATAGGTGGCCGGGGCACGGGGATGTCTGCGAAGAAGGCGCGGTCCCGAGGTGGGGACAGGGCTGCCACCTCGCAGAGTTCCAGGTCCCGGGTCACCGCCAGGATCTCCTGGCGGGCGGCTGTGTGGCGCAGACCACGGATGTCAAGGAGCGTTGCCACGTGCTTCTGCCTGGGGGTGGAGGAGGGGACAGGTGCATGGGGGCCTCCAGATACACTCCCAGCCTGCCTGGGACACCCACCCCACCAGCCGTCTCTTCCAGAACTTGTCTTAGCTCTGGAGCCCCTTTGCTCTCTCCAGATTCCTCCTCCATATCAGTTCTCCCCAGATCTTCCCTCCCCACCAGCCCCTCTAGATCATGTCCTTCCCACCAGCTCCCCTAGATCCCACCAGCCCCCCTCCAGAACTTCCCTCCCAACTAGTTCCAAATCCCCGTACTCACAATGGATTCCAGAGCCCTCACCTCCAAAACCAGAACAAGAATCTTCCTTTTCATCCCATCTCAGCTCTTGATTAAAATAACCTTCCATCTTCACCCCTAGCTGAGCTCAGACCACTCCTGAATGACCATCCTGCTACTCTCGCGTGTTTCAGCTCTGGACTCTGTAGCAATCCTTAACTTCATCTTCACTTTCATCTCACACAACTCCTCATCACCACTCAGATCTAGCCTGGAAGTGCTCACCCCCATCCCTATCCTAACCCTCACCTCACCCCAACACCTGGTCAAGAATATTCTCCACCACTGCTGTTTGGACTCTCATCCAGATTCAACCTCAGAACACTCACTTCACCACTATCCCATTCCTGGAACTGTTATCAAGCAAAATTCTCCCCCAGAACTCCAAATTCACCTTGGGGACCCTCACACCCACCAGAAACTCTATGCTCAAAACTAACTCTATTCCACAACCTTCGGCCCTAAAGGTAACACATCGGAACCTTCCCTTCACCCGATCTCAGCTCCAGATCCCGAATCCAAAACTTAACTCTAGAATCACCATATTTCAATTCAATATCCTGCACCCAACATTCCTTTCCAGAACTTTCATTTCAAACAAAGTTCTGGGGTCTTTACCACCCCCTTCAATCTAGCTCAGCATCTTCACCTGTCCACATTCCACATTCGAAATCCCTGTAGCTCCCAAACACTCATCTAAAATGGGACTCAAGAAACTTCCAGCTCAAGTGAGCTGCAAAACGTGGCCCTCCGAGCTCCAGCTCTGGAACCCCTCCTCCCAGGCCAACTGGAGACCTTTCAAACTTGGATAGCAGCTGGTGGGCTGTATATCCAAGTTCAGATTCAAGTTCAGAAACCCCAGTCCAGCAGGAATGCTGGGACCCCTACTGCCGTGCAACTCTGGGATGCTCTGCTTTCCCAAGGATACAAATCCCACACCTCACAACCACAACTATCCATCCTGAATCAGTTCCAGAGCCCTTCCCTTCAGCCCCAAGTCCTGACCCTAAACTCAGATGATGCCGTACTCCAAGGTCCTGTGGCGCGTGAATACAGAAAGTCTGAATACAGAACGTCTGTCTGCTGGACCAACGCTGTAGGACACTGCCACCACCACCTTGTGCAAGTGGCAGTGTAGTGTAGTGGTCAGGAGTACCAGCTTAGCGCCTGCTGCCTGGGTTCAAGTTCAAACTTTGCTGCTGGCTGGCTGTGACATTTGGGGTCAGCTAGTTAATCTCTGCCTGCCTCCAATGGTGCTAAGCTCTCAGAACAGTGCTTGCCTTTTACCTGCAAAGAATTTCTAAAATAGCTTTCATTCTAAAATAACTCTTACTTATAGAGTGGGTGTGTGGAACGCTGTTTTAGGTCTGACCTAAGGACTCAATAGTCAAGAACTGGTGTTGTTACTGCTGTCACCACGGATGATGGTAAATCATTCCCCGCTAATCATTTGAAAAGAGAACTATTTATTGTCCCCATGGATCAGAGGAGGAGACTGAGGCTCAGAGAGGATCACAGAGAAAGGAAAGAGTCCATCAGGACCTGAACGGCCCCTGCCACTATCCCAGTGCGTGTGCGCCCGTGCGCCCCTGCGTGTCCCCGAGTCCCCCGCGGCTCAACTGATGGGCCGGCCCTTCCTGCCGGCCGGGCGGCCCCGCGCCCCCCCCTGCCCCGGGCTTCCTGTGACTGCTTGTTTGTTTGTGAGCCCTGGTGGCGGCGGCGGCAGCGACGGCGGCGGCAGAAGGAGGGAAATCGTATTAATAATGCCCTGGTTTCCAGCAGGAAACGGCCGTCAGACACGCTCGCCGCCTCCCGCCCTCGCCCAAGAGGCAGGAAACGCACGGACGGATATGCCAGGGCTCGCGGGAGACCTCGGCCCCGCCGGCGGCAGCGCCCGCTGAAAGGGACGGGGCGGCCGTGGGGGGTGGGGAATCTCACCTGATGTCCGGGTAGTCCCGCACCAGCACCCCCACCTCCATCTGGATGCTCGGCGTGTCTTCCAGGCGGAGAACTTCGGCCAAACGGGGCACCACGGCGTCCAGCCACGAGGCCTGGGACTCCTGCAGATAAGACAGGACCCCGGGCTCACACCCTCGCCCCCAGTCAACGTTTACCCTCTCGAAACCACCCTCTCCCGAGGTCCTGCTGTTTTCTCGTCGGTAAAACCAGGCAGAGGGTGGGCTGTAGTCAGAGATTATCTGGGACCTTTGGAAATTTGAAGGAAAATCCGTAATATAATCTACTGTTTGTAGATAATTTGGGGCTCAGGGACAAAATGTTACCATTGGGGGAAACTGGACAAAGTATGCCAGAGATCTCTCTGCACTCTTTCTTATAACCACATGTGAATCTACAGTTGTCTTCCCACAAATTAACAAGAAAATTCCAAGGACTCTCGGTTAGAAACTCCCGGGATAGCCTGAGTGAGACCCTTCCAGTCTTGCTGATTATAACTGGGTACAAATAAGATTTGCTGATTTTAAAAGCTTGGATTTGGGAGCGCTCAAGTTCTGAGTTTCTATTGCATTTAGCGACTCTCTGTGCTCGTAATAATAATAGCTAATGTTCGGGATTCCAGGTCCTAAGCCCCTTTAACGGATCTAATCGCCACAACAACGCATAGGGGACCACTTTTCTCATTTGAGCCCAGAGGGAGCTCTCGCCGCTGGGAGAAAGCCGACTTTTTACCCGTAGAGGGCAGAGATCAGAGTGTTACAGTTGGGTACAAGTTGTGTGAGGGTCTCATTCTAAGCCCCCGCCCCCGGCTATGGAGTCCCCGGATTCCCGGAAGCCAAGGTTTTCCTGGTTTCAGAGCCCCCCACCCCCACCCCACCCCCTGTGACCGCACTTACCAGCCGTCGGAACAGCCTCTCCAGCTGCGCGGCGTCCTCCCGGAGCCTCCCGGCCACGCGGCTGCGGGTCCGCGCGGAACCACAGCGCAGGCGCCCGCGGAACAGAGGCCGCACGTACTCGATGAGCGCCCGCCGGTGCAGCTCGGCCACCAGTGCCTGGGGACCGGGGAAGCCGCGAGGGGGTGTGAGCCGCCGATGACCCTCTCTGCCAGCTTCCCACCCGCCCGTGCCCACTCCGGGTACCCAACGGGAACCCCTCCCTGCCCCCAGTCCACCGGCAGTCCTCCTGACTCCTTATGGGGAACCCCTGTCCTGCTCCCTAATCAGCCCGCGAACCCACCGGCCCCCAAAGGATGCCCCATCCCAGCCCTCTCGGCTTTCTCCGGAGCTCCACCTCCCAGTGGCCCCAACCCTGCCGGCAACCCCCTCCCCCGCTACACCCCGATACCCGTGGGCACCCTCCGCGCAGACCCCAGATTGAGCGCCACCTATCTCTCCCTAATAGAGTTGCTCCCCACCTAGAAGAGGTCTCTCCCAGCCGAGCACTCTGGCTCCCCTCTGCCCCTCGCCCCCCGGCCTCCCGAGTTCCACCCCGCACCCCTCCACCGCCAAAGCAGACGCACCTGGTAAGGCTCATCCTGCATTCTGCGCAGTGCGAGGGCCTTAGCGCCCAGCGTGCCCACGATGCCATCCAGGGCCTCCGAGCTGCTCAGCCACTTCCTGCGCATCAGCTTGCTAAAGTGCGGCTGGGTGGGACAGAGTGGGTAGAGGTTTGAGGCTCGCCTCCTTTCCACCACCCTCTTTCTTCACTTAGCAAGTCAATATTTGTTCCCCAAACTCTGCTCCTGCACAGTGCTGAGGACACAGCAGTGCCAGAGACAGTCCAGCCCTGCCTCCCTGGGGGCTCACAGGCCAGAAGGGGAGACTGACCCATTCCCAGGGGGTTAGGAAATCCAGAGAGGAATGGCTGAGTCAGCATAGAGAGTCAAGGAGGGCTTCCTGGAGGAGGGGTCCCCAGAGCTGAGGTCCAGAAGATGGTCACTGTTAGCCAAGTGAAGAGTGGCAGGGGGAGTGGGTGAATCCAGGGGAAAGCCAGTGTGAGAAAGATTCAGATTTCAGATGGGCCTGCAGATCAGAGGGCCAGAAAGATCAGTGTGGCTGGCAAAACCATCTAGATAATTCACAGGCCCAATGCAAAGTGAAAATTGGGAAACCTTTGTTCAAAAATAATTACTTAAGAAGCAGCAGAGCGTTAAACCAAGCTAAGGGCCAGTCTAAGCAGGAAAAGGAGTTAGGGTTGGCAAGGAGGGGGAAGGTGGTGTATGACTGCCCAGTGGACAGGTAGGGCTGGTCAGGTGAATGGAACAGAGCACAGAAGCCTCCTGGGCCGTGTGAGGATCTCCAGATTTCTCCTGAGGGTACTGGGGAGCCATGGAAGGTTCTGAGCAGGAGAGGGAGCAGATCAGCTTTGTGCTTCACCGAGATGGCTGGGAGGGGGCAAGACTGAGGCAGAAATGAGGGGTCTGGAAAGAGGGGGAAGGGGTGAGGAGGCAAGGAAAATACAGGTAGTAGATGCATAGGATGTAGTGGGTGGTCACCTGTCGGGAGGGCGGGCGGCATCTAGGTCCCAGAGCTGGGATGGGGAGTGGGTCTCTCCCTGAGATGGAGGCTGGGAGAAGCGAGGGGAGATGCTGCTGTTGGATGGACACTGGGAGCTGGCGGTCCCCAGACACCTTTGAGATTGGTGTCCATGGGGGCCCGAAGCAGTACCCTATTCCATTCAGCCCTGCACCCCCTTCCTGCTCTTTCATCCCACAGTAGCCCAGTTTTCTGATCCTCCAGAACTGAGGCCTGTGGGCTTTTGTTAGAAAGCAGGCGTGAATCAAACGAGCTGACGCTGTTAGTACAGCACTCAACTCCGGAAGTGTTGCTGTTGCTATGAACTCTGTACATTTACGAAGATGACAATGGTCAGTACTCGAGAGCCAAGACTCGAGCTAAACACTTTATGGCCGCAAGCCCATTGCTTCCTCACAGCCATCTGAGAAGGCTGTGCTCATTTTCCAGATGAGCAAACAGAGACCCCAAGGGGAAAGCCATTTGCCCAAGACCCGCTACCTGCAAGTGGTACTGCCAGGCCTGGAATAAAGACTGTACCTAATTCCCCCACCACGCTCACTTACTTTCATTCCCATTTGGTCATTGTCCATTGGGTCATTCAACAAACATTCTCTGAGCCTTTCCTTCATGGCCCAGCCCTGTGTGGATCACTGGGAACACATCAGATAACTCTTGGGAACACAGTGCAAAATGAGATAAACAAAACTCCAAGCGCGTGATCATCATAAGCCATTGGGGGGAATCTGAATTCTGATCTGATATGTGATGATATTAAGGACTGATTGTTCCATTTGTTAGGTAGGAGAGTGGCAGTGAATTATGTTTGTTTAAAAAGGCCGGATTCCTTATCTTTTTGGAGATACAGGTTGAAGTGCTGATGGATGATGACAGGATGTCAAGGATGTGCTTTAAAAGAAACCAGTGGGCAGGAGAGGTGGGGGGAGAGGTGGAGTTGATACTTGCTGGAGCTGGTCCACGGGAGGTCATTCTGCTGACTTTTGTGTATGTTTGAAATTTTCCATTACAAGAAAGTTATTTTAGAAGCATTCCAACAAATCCTTGCCCTTGAGAAGCTAACATTCCAGTGGGAGGAGACAGATTGGGGGGAAAAAAAAAAGCAAAGGATATAGCATGGCAGGTAGTGATAAGTGCTTTGGAGACAAACAGAGCCGGGGCCGGGGGGAGGGGGAGTCTCAAGGGGCTTCTATTTTAAATAGGACAGTCAGAGGAGGTCCTTCTGAGAAGGCGACATTTGAGTCAAAACTTGAAAGAGGTGAGAGAGGGAGCTCTGGGGCTATTGAGGGAAGAGAAGTCCAGGCAGAGGGACCGGCAGGTGCAAAGGCACTGAGGTTGGAATGCGTCTGACACATTAAGGAGCGGCTGGCGGGTGGCTGTCCTGCAGTGGAATAAGCAAGGAGGGAAGCGGGAGGAGATGAGGTCAGGGAGGGAACGGGCAGACCCTCCAGGCCCTTGGGGGGTCACAGCGAGGACCTTGGCCTTTGCCCAGAGTGAGCTGGGAGCCATGGAGGGCTCTAAGCAGAGGCGGGACACAGCCTGATACACAGCGTGGACTGAACACAAATTACAACCAGAGACACACAGCTGTCAGTTCTGTTCCCTGGTGTTCCCACCAGCCCCCGACTCCTGTCTCTGAACCTCGTCCCCTCTGTGCATGTGCAGGAGCCCAGAGATGCGTAAATGGGGCTCTTGGGACTAGGGGAGGCTGGGCAGGGATTGGGGGGGACCTCAGTGAGGAGGAGCTCCACCAGTCCCAAGACCCCTTCCCACTGATGGCTGTCCTCCCCCTGACCATGTCCTCCTGCCTCTTCCTTCCTGCACCCCTCCACCCCCCTAAACCACCCAGATATAGCTGTCTCCCCACCCCACCCCCTCTGCTTCCCAAACACTGAGTCATGGGCTGAAAGGAGCTGCAGGATGAGGTGGGGGCACCCCCTTACCCTGGCCCCACCCCAGCCCACCGCCTCTCACCTGCAGCTCCTGGAACAGTAGGTCGGTCAGGACGCGGTGGCAGAGTCGGATCACACGATCCAGAGCGCTGGCTGCCGCTTCCCGGGCCGGCTCACTCTCAGGGGGCCCTACTCGGGCCAGGCGCTCCGCCAGAGCCCTGAGGGGATCCATAGCACCAAAAGTCATGGGCCCCAACATCTCAGCCCAACTGTCTGAACCTGTCTCCCCTTAGACGGACCCTATTTCGTGGGTCACAGGGGTGACAGGTCAGAGGGGGAGCTGGCGGAAGTCAGGGGCTCTGGGGAGGGCCTGGGGTGAGAAATATCAGGGGATGTCTGGAGGGTTGGGGATTTGGGGGGCTCTGTGGCCTGTCTGGGAGTCTAGGGGGATGTAGTGGGCAGGAAGCAGTCTCTCTGGGTCTGTTTCTCTTGGTGCTTTCTGGGTGAGAGTGGGGACGCCTCCATCCTAAAAGTCTGTGATTCTAAAGGACTATCATTCTAAAATTCTACCTTTCTCATTTTCTGTCATTGTAACAATTGATGACCATTTCCATCACTGAAAGGAGAATAACCTGGTTTGGAGGGCACTTGGCAACTTTCTGCCCAAATTCCAGCAGACCCCCTGCTGAGAGCATATTTCCCTGAGTCTCCACACTTGTGCCAAGTTTTTCTGTACAAAAGAGTGGAGGCCACTGTCCACCCACTGCGGACAGATTAAATGGAAGATGGCAGGTCCAGACAGTGGGCAACAGTTCAGATATGAAAGAGGAATGTGGGAACTCTTCAGGTGCTCACAGAAAGACTGCCAAGGTGTAAAAGGGAAAAGGACAGAGTGTGTTCAATATTCTACCATTTGTATTTTTGGGGAGTCATCCCCCGCTTTTTTTTGGCTATGATGCAAGGCATGTGCATGTGGGATCTTAGTTCCCCACCAGGGATCGAAACTTTGTCCCCTGCAGTGGAAGCACAGAGTCTTAACTGCCAGGGAAGTTCCTATATTTCTTTTTTTTTTTTTTTTGTAAGAGAAGGAATAATATGTATGCACATAGTAATATATTTACTTGTATATGTATGAAATATGCATATGCATGCATATCTATACATATGCATGAAGTGTGCCTCTACATATATATACATATTTACTGGTAAATATATCAGATACCCCTGCAAAGATATGGGAGACATTAGTAATAACTGGACCAGAGGGTAACAGAGGGAAGCTTTTCATTGTATGCCCTATTGTATCTTGAATGCACTCCCGATTTTAAAAATTCAGTTAAAAACAAGTCAATAAAAAGGGAAGTAATATAACAGAATCACTTTGCTGTACAGAAGAAATTAACACAACATTGTAAATCAACTATACAAGTAAGATAAAAACATTCAAAAAAAATAATGTAATTCCTAGAGTCTGGCTTCTAGGTTCCTGTAATTCTAACACCCCCAGGTTTTCATTACTCTGTTATCTAGTGATGCTGTGGTTCTTTCTAGGACTCCCAGGGTTTAGGATTCTCAGGTCCCCTGTATGTGCCTCTCAGGGCCAGGTGTGCAGCCCCCACCCAGGATCCAGGCACCCCAGTTGAGCTTGTCACCCTGGACTGGCATCTCCCCCATACCCTGTGGATGCTCTCACCTCAGAGGGGGGCCACAGTTGACCAGGGAGATGGTCCTGCTGATGTAGGTGTCGGGTGGCAGCTCGCGGACTCCTGGGTTGTCATGGAATCGCTCCACACGCTGCTGGAAGCTGGTGGGAGGAGAAAGGGGAAATGGCAGACAGATGGAGCACCGCAGGATAAGGGTCCTGGCTGGGCAGTCAGCCCTGCAAAACCTGTGATCCCTGCAGAGGTGCCCCTGCCCATCTTGATTCACTTTCATCTGTCATCTCTCTGTTGGATCCCGGGTCCAGGTGCCCACCCCCCACCCCCAGTCCTCCGTACCTCTGCAGAAACTCTGCCAGCCCTCCTAGGCAGCAGTGGGCCATCCGCTCCCCAAACTCCTGGCTGATGCGGGGCGCTCGCTCTGTGTGCTCTTCCAGCAGCTGTGTGGTCCGGCGGGTGTGGAGGGGGTGAGGAGGGTGCCAGGTCCCAATCTCCCACCCCGCCTGATTCTCCCTCCTCTTCCCCGCCGGGTACCTCACACACGTCCTGGGCCAGGTTGCTGGACCAGTCTTCCGTGCTCCCCCAGTGCTCCCCGTCCTCCTGCAGCACTCGAAGCAGGGCTGCCCGCGTCTGAGCCTGGAGGAGGGTAGAGACAGGAGTCAGAACCCCTGGAGCCTCTCCCACCACCATCCCCATACCTTAGGCCCCAGCAGGTCTGGACTCTACCTGTGAGCTCATCAAGGTAACACCAGAGAGGGGCTTGCCCAGAAAACTGCCCCAGCCTTTTCCATTCCTAAGCCTACAATTTGGCGCCTGATATTAAAGAGTCTGTGGTTTTAAGGCACCTCCGTCTAATAACCAGAGGGCTTGAGGGTTTATTCTCTCATTATCTGATGATTGTAAGACTCTGTTGGCAGGTTCCACAAAACAGTTCGCTCACGGTTTCCAAATTCTGTGAGTCAAGAATTCCAAGAATCTGAGGTTCTCAGGTTTACACATCTCTGATTCTCTAGTTCTGCGCTGTCTTCAGTTCAGTGAGTCTGAGAATCTAGACTTGTTTTAGCTTAAATTTCAAAACTTCAAGTTTAGAATCAAACTAATTAGAATCAGAATTGCAACTAGAATTAGAGTTGCAAAGATTCTGATTTCTGTGGCTGAGGCAGGACTGGCTTTTAGACCAGAAACACAGCAGTGGCAGGGATGGATGTTTACAGAAGGGCCATTCTGCTTAAAGGTGACTGTGTCTGGCCAGTTATTAAGCATGTTTATTTACTATCAGCCCTGTTTATATGCAAAGATGTTTTGATGCCCTCTTTCTGTGAATCCTTGGGTCTGTGAGCTGAGGTCCTGTGACTGACTCTGTCTTGCTGTAAAATTTGAAGTGTCTGAATATATTGAACCTTTACTGAGTGTCCCTATGGCCGGCTAGGTGCTTGAGATACACTGAACATGAGACAGAATTGATCAGTATGGGCTTAATTTCTCTCTTTTGGACAAAACTCAGAAGTCCATAAAGGGAAAAGGGAGACGGAAATAGGGAAAGGGAGAGGGGAGAGGCCCCTCAAGCCCAGTGTAACCCCTCCCTCTCTACAGAGTGCCTCCCGCTTCCTGATCGCCAACGCCAAGTTCTGGGTACCTTCACGTCTGTGACGCATTCATCCTCCAAGCCACGAAGGGTGCCGGGCGACAGAAGGGGCCCCAGCTCCCCGTTCTCCAGAGCAACCATGTCCACCAGACCTAGGACCTCTCTAGGGGTGGGGGAAAGAGACAGGGGGTCTGTGAGAGCTGGGGCTGGACAACTGGAACCCTCCCCACACCCATCCCTTCACCCTCTCTGTGTTTGTGACCCGAGCCACTCCCTTCCTCCCTTGGGGCCAGCTTTGCTCATCCCTCTAAGGAAGTCTCTGGAATTGTTGCTCCCTTGGCTCCAGCTCTCTGAGTCAGCTCCCTGATGGATGGTGTCCGGGCAAGACTTGGAGGGATCAAGTCCAGGCGTGACAATTTGGCACGCAAGGTCTCACCCACCAGAGGTTCACAGGACAGAAGCTTCCTTCCACCTCCAGCCCTAGTCCCTATGGCCTCGCCTGGTAGGCCTCCCCCATCAGCCCTCACTCCTGGCTTCTGCCCTTCTGCATGCCCTGGCCTGTGCCTTGCCACCACTCTCCTCACACTTTCCTACCACCTCCACATACACCAGCCTTTGGCTCATCGCATCCCCTCAGCCAGAAGCCCCATCTCCCTGCAAGTCAGACTTAACATCTCGACATCCCAGACTCCCTATTCTGCCTCCCCCTCTGACGGTTGGCGTGAACAGATGGGATGTGGGTTGGGGGTAACTGTTGCCTTACTATTCTTCTGGTGTCAGCACCCTGATTTTGATGAGGAACCACCCACTCCCTCTCCGTCCAATGTGTGGTTTGGGTGTGGCTGATCCCTTTTCCCTGGAGCCCATAGTGACCCAGTTATTACTAATCATGGTATTCCATCCTCTGGCCACAAGAATGGAATGTTTTAAGGTCCAAAGGCTTGATGGTTATAAAATTCTAGGACTGGAAGTGTCAATGGTACTCAGGTTCTAGATGCTAAGATTATAGAATTCAAGGGGCTAAAACTGTGAAGGATCAACAGTGTCAAAGTTCTAGGATCCAAAGAGGGGATGGGGAATTTCCTGGTGGTCTAGTGGTTAGGACTCTGAGCTTTCACTGCTGAGAGCAGGTTCAGTCCCTGGTCAGGGATTTAAGATCCCACAGCCTTACATGGCAGACAAAACAAAAAACAAAAAACAAAAAACCCACTAAGGTATAGGACTCAAAGGCTCATCAGTGCCAAGGTTCTAGAATTGAAAATGTCATCAATTCTAAAGTTCTAAGATTGGAAGAGTCATCAGTGCTAGTGCCCTAGGCTAGAGCACTGTAAAGGCTAGTGAAGGCTAGAGCGCTGTATGGGTTCTAGAATTCTAAGGGTCAACAGTGCCAAGATTTCAGGAGGAAAAGGGTCACTGGTGCTAAGATTCTCGGATTGGAAGGGTGGGCAGTGCTAACATTCTAAGAGTGCAAATGTTGAGGATTCTAAGGTTCCTGGCTGGTACTAAGGTTCTAGGATCTGAAAGCTTCCTGTTGCCGAGTTCTAGCGTGGAAAGCTTGCTGAGCCAGAAGATTCTCGGACTGTAAATGTCACCAGTGCCGAGTCTGGAAGGGTCAAAGATGTTCAAGTTCTAGGATTGAAAGTCCAAGGTCCTTAGGGTCTGAAGAGGCCGGGATTGGACCGGGTGGAGGGAGGGGCGTCGCACGCGACTTCGGGGCAGCTGACGGCTGGCCCCCAGCTCACCTGGGGTACACCTGGTTGTGCCAGTGCAGCAGCGCGTAGCGGTCGGCCAGCGGCAGCCTCCGGCGGGCGGCGGCCCCGATCCACTCGGCCAGCGCGCCGTGGTAGCCGCGCAGGTAGATGCCGAAGGCGCCCAGGCCGGCTGGGTAGGAGGGCGCCAGGCGGCCCCGCACGACGCCCATGTCCTCCAGCAGCCGTCCCCGCAGCGCCTCCAACTGCCCGGTTGGGCGGCCCGGGCGCGCCGCCCCCCGACGACGCCAGCTCTTCGGCCTCTAGCTCCAAGATGTGCTCGTCGGCCCGCGCGAGCTCACGCTGCTGGATCAAGCTCAGGATCTCCAACACTGTGGGCGCAAAGCGGACGATCAGGGGCTGGAAAACGGGGCGGAAGGGGGCGAAGAATGTGAAAAGGTGGGAGGCGAGGGGGAGAAAGTTACGGGTGGTGAGGGGATGGGGGCAGAAGTGGAGGAGGAGGTCAAGGGAGGAAGGTGAGGAGAATGGAGAGCAAGTGGAAAGGGGTCAGGACTTGGGGCGGGGAGGATGGGGGAGAGAGGATGAAGGAGGGAAAGAGAGAGTCAGGAAACGGAGGAGACACGAGAGGGTTGGGGAGGGAAGAGGGGGTTGGTGATGGGAGAGGGAGTCTGCATATGGGAAGGAGGTCAAAAGACTAGAGGGTGTCTAATTAGGAAGAGGATAAGATGAGGGTAGGGGTTGAGGAAGAAGGAAGGGATTAGGGCTTGGGGTAAGGGGTCAGGGCTGGGAAGAGAGTATCAGGTGGTGGGTTAAGATATGGGGACGGGTCACGGGAGCTGAGGGCAGATAGGATAGAAAAAGTGCATGAAGATTTTTTTAAAAGGCATCAGGGAAAGTGGAGAGGCTGGAGGAGGACAGTTCGATCCAGGTGACGGGAGAGATGGGGGCTTGGAGGTGGGAGGAGGATGTGAGGACCAGAGGTGGGGCTTTTGGGGTGCAGACAACTGTGGGGGTGACCTGGCTCTCTGGTGATTTCACATCCCCCCAGGAGAGGGGAGTCCTCTGAGGGGTTGGGAGGCCTCTGAGTGAAAGCAGAAGCAGGGTCCCAGTGGCCCAGGGTTACCCCCAACACCTCCCCCCACTCCCCTTCCTCCCTGGCAGAGAAACTATTTCCTGGCCAGTGCTATTTCTGCCCATCCGTTTCCAGAAGGCGGGGGCTCCACTCACCCGCTTTGCACCTCCCTGCAGTGCCCTCCCAGTCCCTAGGGCGCCAGGCTGAAATAGCCTCTGATGCAGGATGTGGAAGGCATCAGAGGATGAAGAAAGGGGACTCCGGTGCTGGAGCAACAACGGCTGTCCGTGGTGGGGAGGCCGGGGTGGGGGTTGGGGAATAGAGACAGGGCTGGAGGTGGGCTAGATGAAGGTGGGGATTGGAACAGGGTTGAGGTTGGGGTGGGGTGTCAGGGTTAAGGCTGGAGATGAGGATGGGGTGAAGGTGGGGGTTGGGATGCGGTAGTTTAGGATGAGAGTGAGGTTGGTACTGGAAATCTAAAGAGGGAGGTGGGAAAGGAATTGAGGATGATGTCTGGGCTTTGGGGTAAGGATGGGGTTGGAGATGAGTTTAGGTGGAAGCTGAGGAGGGAAAGGAGGAGGTGAGTTTGAAGAAGTCTGGAGATGAGCTGGGGTTAGGAATGTGGAGAGTTGAAGTTGGAGGTTGGGGGTTAGGATTGGGACTGAGAGGTTGAGTTTGGGTTAAGGTTGAAAATGGGGGCTGGGAATCTGACTAGAACTGAATGAGGAAGTTGGGGAGGTGAGTGGGGTTGAAGGGGGACACTGAGATAGACCTGGGGTTGGGGGTTGGGAGTGAGATGGAAGAGGGGAAAGGATTGCACACAGGGACGGGACTGAAGGTGGGATGAGAGGAAAGGAACGGGCCACAGCACGGGACTGGACTGCTTGGCAGTTGTCATGGTGTTGGGCATAGCTCTCAGGTTAAAGACGGCATTTGGAAAAAGGGATGGGTTGAGAATAAGCATGTGGTTGTGTCAGGGTGGAGACAGATGATGGGGTTGGAATAAGTGTGACTGGAAACCAGAAAGGCACTGAGGAAGACATTGGGGTTTGGGGTACTACTAGGGTTGAGGATACAGCTAGAGTGGCATTATGAGTTGAATTGTGTTTGTCCCCCCCACCTCAAAAAAAAAAAAAAAGATATGTGAAGCCCTAACCCTTAATACCTCAGAATGGGATCTTATTTGGAAATAAGCCATTTGCAGAGGTCATCAAGTTAAAATGGGATCACAGGGTGGGCCCTGATCCAGTGTGACTGTTGTCTTTATAAGAAGGAAAATTTGGACACCAAGAGTGACAGGCACAGAGAAGAACATGATGTGAAGATAGAGAAGGCCACAGGCGGATGGAAGGCGGGAGGGATGCAGCTACAAAGCTAGAAATGCCCAGCGAAGTGCCAGAAGTTGGCAGAGACCAGACAGGTCTCAGAGTGGGCATGGCCCTGCCAACACCTTGATTTCAGACCTCTTCAACTGCAAGAGAATAAATGTCTGCTGTCTTAAGTCAGCCAGTTTGTGTACTAACAGGAAACTAACCCAGGTGGAGGTGGGTTTAGGGGGATGTAGCCGGGAGATGGAGGGAGACATTAGGCATGGGCCTGAGCTTGAAGATGAAACTTAGGCGTAAGTGGAAGTAGGGATGAAGTTGAAGGTGGAGGCTGGGGCTGGGAGTTTAGGATTGAGGTAGTTAGGGTTGGGGTTCAGAGTGGGATGGAAGAAAAGAAGAGATTGGTGAAGGAGTAGGTTGAGGTGGGGATTGGAGTTTGGGGCCAGAATTAGGGCTAAGGATGGGAATGGGGTGGACTGTGGAGGTTAGGGAGGGGTTTAAGGTCAAGGTCAAATGTGGATACTTTGAAAGGAGATGGGATTGAGGCTGAATTTGAGAGGAGTAAGGGAAAGAGGATTGAAACTGGAGACAGGGAGGGGGTTGGAGGAGATGAGGCCAGAGTTAGTGATTTGATTGTCTTTGGACGGGGCAAGGTCGAAGGCGGCAGGTGGAGAAAGGGACAGATTGGGGCTGCGGGTGGAGATGGGACTGAAGCTGGAGCTTGACGATGGAGATTAGGACCGCAGGAGGGACGGGCTGGCCCTGTCCATGGAGGTGGGCGGATGGAAATTGGAGATGTGAATGGCAATGATGTCACAGGTAGAGACCCTGTGATTCTCCCAGGTCTGGGCAGGGCTCCCAGCTCACCTGACAAGGGCTCTTTCACCTTCGGGGGCTCTGGGACCTTGGGCGGGGGCTCGGGAGCCGCCTCACCTGCGGGCACCACCCTCTCAGCCAGTGATGCCCGCCGGGGCTTGGGCCCGCGCCCCAGTCTCAGGAAGGCCAGTCTCCGTGCAGCCTCTCCAGCTGCCTCCTCATCGCCCTGGGCTCGGATCCCCTGAAGCCTGGCCAGGAGGCCAAAGTCTGCTGAGCTCCTGCGAATTCCTGGCGACAGCACCCGGCCCAGGAAAGAGCGAGGCTGCCCATCCCCGGGGCTGCCTGCCCGCCGGCCAGGGGTTTTGCCCAGCCGGAAGGGGGACAGGCCTGCCAGCTTCTCCAGGGTGGCTCGGCGACGACATGACGTTCCATTGGGCAGAGCCCCCAGCTCCCCAGCCTCCTCTTCTTCCAGTCCTGAGACTTCCTCAAAGGGGTTCCGAGAGGACCTCAGAGGCAGTGTGCCTGCCCGGGGCACCTTAGAGTCTGCCACCCCTAGACTCTTCAGGATGGGCATTTTGACAGGAGAGGACCTGGGGGCGGGAGGGGGGGAAATGGACCATCGGTATTGTTGGTGACAGGTGGCATTGATGACAGTACCTTTGTGTATTTGAAGCATTTTGAAGCATGTGTGCCAAGCACTGGTCTGAGCACTTACACACCCCTGCAATCTGCACAACCTCATGAGGTGAGCACTGTCACTATGCCCATTTTGCAGATGAGGAAACTAAGGCTCTTAAAAGCCTAACGTCCCATGGTGATTCAGGGAGAAAGCTGGGATCCAGACCCAGGCCTGTCCGATTCTAGATCCTGGGTTCTTTCTCCAGAGCACTGGCCTTCAGACCCTTCCCCTACCTCACTCCTGCCCTGGGACCCTCCTATTCCAGGAGAAAACAGGCTGAGAGGGGAAGGTCCCCTCCTGTATGGGGACCCAGACCACACCTCACCATCTACCCAGGCATCCTGTTCATACTCTCGGGCACCTTTGTCTCCTCCCCATCCAGTCAGTACTCCTATTACCTCTACCTCATTCATTTCTCCAGCAAACTTTTCCTGGGAAAGATCCAGAATAAGCAAATCCATAGAGACAGAAAGATTAGTGGTTGCCAGTGACTGGGAGAAAGGGACTGGGGCCTGACCACTTAATAGGTACAGGGTTTCCTCTTAGAGGGATGGAGATGTTCTGGAATTTGTGGTGATGTTTGACCAACCTTGTGAATACATGAAATGCCACTGAACTATACACTTTAAAATGGCTAATGTGGTTAATTTAGTGATGTATAGATTTTACCACACACACACATACATGCACACGTGTTTACACACACACACACATACACACTTACTAGGTATTTGTATCAGTCCAGCCCTGTGCAGGCACAGAGTACACAGCGGTGGACAAGGCAGACCCAGTCTCTGCCCCTGTGGGGCTGGAAGCTTCCAGAGTCTGGCCCATTCCATCTACATCCCTGTCTCCTCCCTCTTCATGGCTCCTACCCTAGTCCAAGCCCCTCCTTCTTCTCTGCTTCAGCCTCCTCCCTGATCTCCAGCCTCTAGTCCTCCAGTGCACCTTTGAGGCCCTCGTTAGGGCTCAAACCCGCCCCTCCCCTTCTCTTAACCCTCCATGGCTCCCCAGTGCCCTCAGGACAAAATTCAGGCTGGCCAGCTGTATCCCTCATCAGCACTATCCCACATTTTCCTCCTTCCTCCAGGCTTCTCTGGGCTTCAACATCTGCTTCTACATGGAATTCTGTTCTCCATGGTCCATTCAGGCTTTGGGACCCAGCTCAGATGTTGCTGCCTCCAGGAAGCTCTCCAGGATACCCAGGC